GAGAGAGAGGATGAAAGGTATAGAATTAATGTTTTTTATAATATAATTGCGATTATATGTCTATATATTGGACATTAAATAAATTTAAATATTGCGAGTGACAAATGTAAGGGGTAAAATTGTCTCTCACGTAAAAGAAAAATTAGTGAAATAATGATTAGATAAATATGTTTAATTTCTTGACGAAAGCAATCATCATGATTCATGACAGCATCTTTTATAGAGTTTCTGTAGCAAAATTAATATCGATATGAAGATTTTTACATTAAAAAAATAAATTTGTTTCTTGTTATTTTTTTATTTTTTATTTTTGGTTAAAACCCACAAAGGGGCCTACGTGTTAATTTCAAAAAAGAAGTTACACAGTCCTTAGAAGGGACCTCCAGCTTGCTAAGGCTCAGAATAGCTACAAAAAAAGTCAAAATAAATCCTAAAATCCGGTGGTCCCTTTTTCTACAATTACAAAACCAATAAGCATAAGCTCTAGGGCTGCGGGCAAACAGCACCCAAAAAAGGAAGATCATGATGTTCTCGTTCGGCTCAATCCTCCTGCAAAAAATGAAAGAAAAAAACCAAAATTTAAGAAGAAAAAAAGAAGAAATCACCTTGCTAATCTTGAAGCTCCAAAGATCAGTGACGAACCACCTGCATAAACAACTCCAATACCCAATGTTAGCCGGAATATGATAAATGCAACAAACAAAAACTTCCAGATAACCAAAGCAACATATCATATAGATTTGAAAATTCTTATCACAAGAAGAACTCACTAGAACAACAAAGATGAGCATGGGCCAGACAGACATAAAATCTTTGATATTTCCAATAAAGACGGGTTTCAGACCCATAAGCAACAAGTTTTCAGTAATCCGCAACAAACGGAAATTGCACTTAATTAAAAAGCGACCCGTTATCACCAACAATCCGCTCCAAGTCACCTTGCAAAAAATTGAGCTCCCAGGACAACAATTACTGACATGGCCACATTGAGGAGCCAAAGAACACTCCAGCACGAAAAAAAAAAAAATAACAAAGACAAATGTACAAGTAAAATTCGTCACTCTCACTAATTTTTAGTAGTTTGATTCATATTGATATATAAAGTTCTTTTAAAGGTTTGATTGTTTAGGAGTATTAGAGGTGTAAACAACACATGATTTTTAATTTTTTTTGTCTTTGTTATTTTTTTTAACCCATAAAGAAGCCTATGTATTAATATATAAAAAAGCGTTACAAGTACTTAATAGGGATTAACTCGCTAATGCTCATAGAACTACTAAAAAAACTAAGAGTCGAATATTTCAATCTAGATACAATCCAAAATAAAAATGAAAAGGCCATTAAAAAGCCAATACCCAAAAATCCTAAGCCTATAGCTTGAAATAACATTAAGCTTAGCTAAGCACAAAGCAACAAAATCCACATGACAAGTTGGTCCACAAAATGTCAACAAAATAAAAAAAGCTATCACACCAAGAAAAACTAGCAAAATCAAAATGAAGCGCCGGTTGGAACCGCCGGTAATAGCCATTTTTCCTGTAGTGTCAAAGAAAACTCAACAAAAAGAAACATAAGTAAGATAGAGATTCAAGAAAAAAAAAAGGGTAGAAACAACCACAAAAGAAACCTCTAAGAGAGAACCACCCCCCAACACACCAGCTAAAATAGCACAACACCACCAACACAACTCACAATTAGACCCTAAGAAAGAAAACAACAAGACACCCTAATAGAAACAACGATACCAAATAAAACAAAATTAAGCCAATAAACCTATGCTACACGAGCAGAAATTAAGAAGCCCCATAGAGTAGACCCAACGCCAACCACCACCAAACAAAATAAAAAAACCACCCAAAAAGAAAGTAACCCCAGAGCCGACCCAAGGCTAAACACACCAAGCTAGCTCCCCGAGCCTATAAAAAGATATAATATATATATCAACAAACATAAAGACCAATATACAATAGAACACTAGCGACAACACCCAAACACAAAGAACCACAAAAAATAAAGCTCATCACCTAGCAATAAGCACCATAACTAATACAAAAAAACCACCAAGATAGGTCCTAAACTAGCATAAAGCAAGAAACTAGCTCCTAGCAAAAAAAGCCCAGCTCAAACACAAGGAACCACCAAAAAGAGCCTAGCGCCCATCAACAAGGAAAAAACACCACCGAACGACAGCAAAAAAAGCTATTCTTTTTTGAATAGGGCTTACCCAACTTATCAAGTCTTATCATGCCCTTGAGATCATGAAACCCATTCAAATTATAAAATAATTTAGTAGAGTAAATACAAACCCCTTTGTGATCAAGCCAATCGACACATATATTATCATCTCTCTCCAAATATGAGAAATAATGTAATCAATTTGAAGGAGAAGGCCATTGATTTTCTTGAATAAATAAAAAAGACTAACATTATTGCAATTATTGGTGGTCATTTAATCAACCAACACAAAGTAATCAGATTCAATCGAAATATTAGATTTATTGTAATCCTTGCAAAATTTGTGACATAGTAGGAGAGCTATAGCCTAAAAAAAATAACTTTACACATATGAATGAAAGAAGCAAAAACAAACAACCTAGGACCATGATAATCTCTAACAAGACCACCATAACAAGCCCCAAGTTTAGAGACTATACCATTAATGTTTAATTTGAATTGAGCCACTGAAGGCTTATTCTGATAGACAATACTAGAATTGGTTTAATTGTTATCAATATCAAAATATATGTTAAAGAAAGAGGCCAAACTCTTATTACCTTTGAATAAAGAAAGAGGCCCAACTTTTACTGGGAAGAAGCACCTTAGCAGAGACAAGCTGATGAATTTTATTCTTAAGAGTTATATTAATGATATGGTTAGAACTCATCTTAATATCTTGATGCTTGCAATCATTTGTATCAATCCATTAAAAAAAAATCAACAAAAGAATAATAGTGAGAATATGACCAATATGTGTAGCTATTATGAAACAAAGGATCAAGAAGAGTATGACAAGTAGTACTTAAATAGCTCATGTTAACCCCCAAAGCACAATCCAAAACATACCAAACATTAATGGCAACAAGGCCATCCAACATAACTTGCTTGATGTTTTCTAGTTGAAAGCAACATTGGCATTTAAAAGTACTAAAAAAACTTTTTTTCTTAAATTTCTCATCCATAGGAATTAAACCCTTTTTCTCCATGAAAAAAAAATGAAAATATTCCTAGGAACAACTGAATTTCAAATTTTACTTAAAATCAAATTATGAGTATCTATAGTTCTAAACAATTTTATTATTAAATTCACCATTAACATAATGTTTGAAGATAGATTGATTCATATCAGTGAGACTGATTGGAATATCTTGATTAACATCAACCATAAAAATAGGAATATTATCTAAAAGAAGATTAATATTCCACTTATCATTCAAAATAAAATCAGAAACTCTCAAATTGAAAAGAGAATGAGTATTATAAAAAGAATCAAGAGACCCAATACCCATCGATCTAGTCATCTTGCCAAAAGAAAGAAGAACCAACACCAATATTTCATTAAATACATTGCTCACCTTGCCACTTGGCTTTACAAAGCCTTAGCCAACTAACATATTGCCCTTTCTTAAAGAAGCACTGTGAGAGATGAATATTCTTGCAATATTTGAAATTCATATAATTGGCCCATATAAAGTTGTTAGTATGGAATTTTTACCATTGCTTAATAGAAAAATAATTCACCGGCCATATCAATAGTGGATTTGGTTTTACCATAGGGCACCGGCAAAAGCGTTACACTTATTGATTTTTAATATAGAGGTCTCCGACATGTAACACAACTAACGCAATTATGAGGAATTTCTCCAGATTTCACGTTGATGTAATATTGTTTATGTTTGATTGTGCACAATTTATATATTTAATTGACCTTATAATCCTCTTATATGTTTGTACTCGCATTGAGTCAATATAATAAAAAAATTGGGACATATTTCTAACCTTTTTAACATATTAAGAATGCACAATGTCCATCTTTGATGAATCTAAAATTATCAAAATTGACATATTTTAAATATAATTAAGAAACTCTCATCTCGTGCCTTATTGTCTTTGCACATCATCACCAATCCTATATCATTATTATAGACCACATTGTTGTTGGTCTGACCCCACAAAATCACAATATTATTGTTGGCATTGAGTCTGCATGACTGCATATATCACCCCTACATGACAGTCCTTGATGTCCATGATCTCATCTTCCCAGCACAAGCTCATCCACTTATCATAGAGCTAGCTATCATCCTCTATGTCTATGCTATCATTGGCCATGATTTCAATCCTAGAGCATTGCATTAAATTTAAGAAACCAAATATATAATATATTTAATTTACAATATTGTATTTAAAATACACATGTGTCTATAATACTTGCTATTAACCAAACAACTTTTTATAAGTAGGGATGCATATTTAGTAATAGTCCTAA